CACAAAAGAAACCCAGGAGAATGCAAGCCCTCCATCTCCATCTTTATCTTTGTTTTCAGTGGTTGACTATGTGCCATCAACTTGCTATTAACGCTTACTGACAACGTATATGTTTTCCATGACAATTTGTCCCCAACCTGGTCCTTCAGGTCTGCCAACAATGCATTCATTGCCACCCTGAGTCCATCAACCTTGCTGGTGGCTTTCCTCTTCTCTCTCCTTCCACCTTTCCCAGCATACATTTGTTCATTTGCCAGTACATCTGAGTAGTTCCTAAAAGGATATCCTGCAAAGCTCTCCTCCACTGCATTCAGTCATTTGTTCAAGATGTGATCATGAAAGAATACCTTGTCACAATCTTTGCAGCCAGATTCTCAGTAGTGGTAACTGGCTGTACATTTCTGTGGTTGCTAGAGTGAGACAGAGGGAGGGATATATTGCCACATGCCACAAGCAGGGCTCAAGCTGTGTGAGACCAGAGAGGAAACAGTAATGGTAGACATGAGCCATAAAATGGAGGTGAGGTAAAAATTGCCATTAGTTAAAAATAGATTGCCCCAAAGCCCCGGAGAGCTGTAGCATTACAAAGGAAAAAAGAACCAGAAAAAACCACCACCACCCCCTAACTCATCTCTCAAAGCCAGCCAATACACAAGTTCAAAGCTGGCTCTGAAACAACACAAAGCTAGTCTATCAACTCTGGGCTGCAAAATCCCCACAATCAACTGATGGCTGCAAAAAAATTTCTCTCTCTCTTTGCTGCTATCTTGAAGTCATTCGGGATTGTTAGCCCTAACAAAGCCTTCTTGTGGACCCTGGTTGGCTAGCAGACGCAATTTGGCAGTTATCCTTCAGGAGATGATACCAGTGATACCAGCTCTACTAATCTGTGCATAAAATCAATTAAAAAACATACCTCTGCCCTCACAATTGCTGCTGCAACTTTTATATTTTATAAAAGAGTAACTGATAAGGCTGAAAATATAGCAATATCAAACCCTACGTTTGATCCTTATGAAAATAAGAATCTAAAAGAAAAAAATAGTCATGCTTGTTTTAGTTAACTCTACAATACGTTACCAAAGTGTCATTATTCTTTAGTTGTTCATTTAATTGTTGGATTTTTTATAGCTGTGCCAGTGTTCTGTCAATGACCCCAAATATCTATAGAATTTAAATTTTCAGTGAAATCAGCAAATTTAAGAAAGTGTTGTGACTTGTTTCCTTATTTCTCCTCTTTCCATAGTTAATTCCATTAATAAGTCAGCTTATTGGAATAACAATTAAAATACTTGGCACTTCTTGAATTTCAGGGAATGTTACTGTAGTGTCTTCACGCTTTGAATGATACTTGGTTAACTCTATTCTGGTTGCCTTGCACCCATATCAGTTGTAAAATAATTCTCTGTATTTTGGGCTTCTATAGAATGTGCCTAATCAACTTTCTATTTAAGGTCTATAAAAGATCTATGTAACCTTGGAGTCTTGTTCATCTGGGTGCAAGGGACCATGGCTTACTATAGTCTGCTAGATTTAGAAAATAATAGAACAATTGCTGGAACTTCTGCAGCTTTCCATCATATTCTTCAGATTTTTTAAAGAAAAGGCTAAAGGTCTATTTGATTTGGATTAGCATACCCAAGAAGTCATGAATAAACCCTAGTTTGATATGTTAACCTAAATCACAGTTCCTCCCTTTCGACATAACTTTCATTATATTAGGATATAAATGCCAAAAAAGAAAATGTGAAACTTAGAAACCAATGTGCACTCTAAAAAAGGTTAGAGAATTAGATTTATGTCTTCAGATTCTTTTCCTATATTTATTAATCCTTTTTAAAAGAAAAAAGAGAACTAGAAAAAGGATGGGAGCAGTGCTCAAGCTACTACTGGGTTTGGTTTGTTTCAATTTTCTGACAGTCAAGTCCACATCACAGAAATAAATGACTTGTTTTATCTTGAAAAGGTTAATTGTTAAAGACAGGGAATAATTATTATTTCAATGTTTTTAAAAATCTGAGATCTTCTAAATCCTTCTATTTCCCATCTCTTTTTGAAATGGTAACTTCCTTGACTTCAACCTCAGCACCTTGCACCCATAAAGCCACGTATAAGCTCTCACCCAGAGACAAGTAATTATACAATGGGTATCTTGCATCCTTATTTTCATTAATCACAAGCTGAAACTGTACTCCATTCCAGGACACTTAATTACTCCTTTAACTAAAAACCAGTTTTTCAAGATACAGGTATGTCACTCTATATCCCCTGCGCTAGTTTTAATGAAAATGGCTATGCTTTGTTCTCTCTTAACCCCAGCTTATATACAGATTTCATCCCATTCTGTTGAAAAAACAAAAGTTACATCCAGGTATGTTATCCTATGTACATCAATATGAGAGCTGTCAGGTTCTAAGAAATCTCTTTGACATCTAGGTAACAAGTGATTATTCAGCCTAGAAGTGACTGACTTGAAACTGATTAAGGTATTTCAGAGTCCCAGTTGGGCGTTCTGCACATTCCTGAATTTCATTTTGCAGAGCAACATAGAGATTCAGAATTCGCTGTTGAAACCAATGGGCTTTTTTGTTTTTTAGAGCTCTTCCTCACAGTCATGTTAACCTACATTCCTCCCATCCAATTTAAGGGTAGTGACTATGGTTTTCCCAACCTTCATTTCCTTTCCCATCCAACATATTCACCCAGTGGGAAAAGCACTATTAGGTGCTTTCCTTCACATATGGTGGGGATGCTTGGGGAATTGTGGGTAAGTGCCTGGTTCAGAAGCTTTAGCAACCTTTCAATCTGTTTGACAGACAGGTAACCAGCATGAAGATGTTCTGCACCATTAACCTATCACTCAAGTAATTTTGGAAAACAGATCTACCCATCTTCTGAAAAAGGAAATACATTACTTTAAAACTGTGACACTTTAAGAGGAATGTAAAGTGCCCCCATGGTGGATTGGGGATGAGGCAAAGTCTACGTTATAACAATACCATCTTTAAAAATGATTAGCAGGGGGTCTTTGCACACAGCTGGACTTGAGGATAAGCCCTTAATGTACCACCTCCATTACCGAAATAGAGGTAATGCACCAATGGATTGTATAATGGGGATCACCTTAGCTTCATGCATGTAAGTATGGCCAGACACTACTAAAAGGTCTCCATGAGTGTGCTGTAAGATTGGAGAATGCCTGTCTCAATCATCGGAAAGTAAATTAAAATTTTCTGTTATTGTACAGAGAAAGTAAGATAACCTTGATGGAAATATGCAACAACTGTTACCTAAGCAAAGGGGGCTGAAATGTTTTTTAAGTCCTGGGAAACAAGATAATGTTCAGAAGTGGCTCAGGTGGACACCTCCCTGATTTTGTGGGATATCAGAAGTGGGAGACGTATAGCGTAATCAGACTTGCAAGATTATGTTATTAGAGTTGCTTTGTGCGAGATGGGCAGCTATATAAATGTGATGTATAAATAAATAAATAACCAGTCACAATAAAGGTAGTTTTAGCCTCCCTGTGGAGTTGATTTCCTGGTCTGGCCTACCTAGTGGGGCTGGCACTTATTGACAATTGTACATAGATGCCATTTTATCAGACATGAAAAATGAAACAATCAGAGTCTTTTCTACTGGAGCAGGTAGAAGTGCCTAACAGACCTTCGCTGATCTCGGGAAAGCCAAGTAGTGTTGAATGTGGTTGGTAACTGGATAGGAGAAGTCACAAAAGTATGCCAGAAGAATGCTACAGTTAACAACCTCCATGCTATTTTAGAGTTGTTTTTTGGTACAATGTGCTAACAAACAGATGTTCTATTCAGAATATTGGTGTTGAGGGGGGAATTATCGCAGGCATGCACGCGCATGCAATCATGTTCATAGGGACAAAGGAAAGCACAGGGATACAAGGGGAAATCTGCTGAACCAGATTAAATTAGCCTAGCCTCCTATCCCCAATTTAGCAATGCCCTGGGGAAGCAGCAATCTTCCCTAGAGTTTATCCACAGCACATATGTTACTGTGGCATATTGTTTACCCACAGAGGTATACGACTTTTGGATTTGGAAGTTCCACCTTGCCTTCATCAATCTCAAGGTGCGAGATATATTATGCTCTATTTCCTGCAGACATTAAGATGAAGATGAGGCTGTCCTTCCAAAAACCTATGAAACAATCTGAAGTGTCTTTAAAAGTAATCCGAAAGAAACTAGAGCAACAGTTTCAATCCGGAATCACGCATGAACCAACCTTCTTTTCAGCCTAACAGTAATCCCAAAGTGGGCAAAGTAATAATTGCACCCATTTTTCTTTTCCTAAATAAAGAGAATTATACAGTGATTTCTTGGAACGTGCAAACCGCCTCGCAGAACCCCAATCGGAAGCTCTCCAAATGCGCAGAACAGCAACTTCCAACCCCGATCATACTTTCGGAACTCGGAGAGTCCAAGAATCTTTGTAGGGCAAGCCACCTGGGGAGCTCTAGTTTGGGAAAAGCTCTTCTTCCCGGTTAGACGGTTCTGCGGTTCCCATTACTGACTATACTACTTGGGGACAATGGGGGTGGGGGTGGGTTCCAATATACTTGGGCTGGAATCTGTTCATTTGGTGACCCTTGAAAATCGCCCTTCGTGGGGACAAGCGAAAGCCCCGCGGGCAAGTCACAACTGCTTTGGCGAGTCTGCCTGCTCCGTGCACTCAACGCGAAGGTGTCAGTGGAGGACTCGGCAAACCTTACGCAGGAGGGGAGGAGAGATTTCGCGCAGCTGGAGGAGCCGGGCGCCAAAGTCAGCTCCCGCTGGCAGTCCCGCCTGCGCCTGACCCCTCCTGCTCCTCCTCCTCCTCCTCCTCCGTCCCCTTTGCGGCCGCGCGTGCCT